AATCACACAGGGGGCTACCCATGCAATCACACAGGGGGCTATCCATGCAATCACACAGGGGGCTGCCCATCCAATCACACAGGGGGCTTCCCATGCTATCACACAGGGGGCTTCCCATGCTATCACATAGGGGGCTTCCCATGCTATCACACAGGGGGCTGCCCATGCTATCACACAAGGAGCTGCCCATGCTATCACACAGGGGGCTGCCCATGCTATCACACAAGGAGCTGCCCATGCTATCACACAAGGAGCTGCCCATGCTATCACACAGGGGGCTGCCCATGCTATCACACAAGGAGCTGCCCATGCTATCACACAGGGGGCTGCCCATGCTATCACACAAGGAGCTGCCCATGCTATCACACAGGGGGCTGTCCATGCTATCACACAGGGGGCTGCCCATGCTATCACACAGGGGTCTGCCCATGCTATCACACAAGGGTCTGCCCATGCTATCACACAAGGGTCTGCCCATGCAATCACACAAGGGTCTGCCCATGCTATCACACAGGGGGCTGCCCATGCTATCACACGGGGCTGCCCATGCTATCACACAGGGGGCTGCCCATGCTATCACACAGGGGGCTGCCCATGCAATCACACAAGGAGCTGCCCATGCTATCACACAGGGGTCTGCCCATGTTATGACCCAGGGGGCTTCCCATGCAATCACACAGGGGGTTGCCCATGCAGTTTTAAGGCTTGACATGTTTGGTATCTGTGTACTTGACACAACCCCATGATTTATCATTTTACCAAGACAATGGGTGTCATATGGTGTTTGCGTGCATTAATATTTATTTTTGTGTATTTTTCCTGAAAGTATAAACATTTGCATAAATAGCGCGTCATAAAAAGCCACCAATTTATTCTCCAGAGGGTCGGCTTTTAGGAAATATATCATTTATATGTAAAGTATAAAATTGTTTGAAGGTTTTATATAATTGTTCTTGTAAAAAATGTTGATTTTAACGTGTGAAAAAATTTAAGAAAATGTCCTGGACGTGAAGTGGTTTAAGATTACCTAAACTCTGGAAGCTGTGCCCCCCAAAAAAGGCAGGCAAAGGACTAGTCCCCAGCAATACTTGTGATCTCCCCATGGCTGGTCTTTTCCTATTACTAACTTAACATGATCAGGGGTGGACAGATCATTTGGAAACTCGGGCACTGCCCGAGGGCCCGGGGTCAGTAGGGGGCCCCATGAGATGCCCCTGGTACCTTTTTCATAGGCTTTTTTGAGGTTGGGCAAGGACACAGGGGCCCATAATCCCCTATTGCCCGGGGGCCCCATGAGTTGTCAGTCCATTCCTGAACATGATATATACTACTCTGTATTTCTGTATGGAGATGGCCATCTTGCTAGAGGCAGGGCTTTGGTTCCTCATGTCAGAGCCTCCAGCAAAGAGAAAAAATAAGCAGCACAGTAGTGACATCACCAAATCTCACACCAAATCTCCTGAGACTAGCAGTCAGGGGCAGCAGTGTCTTAGATCTCACACTGCAGATATACAGTGATGGAGCTTTAGGTACAGGAGAGCCTAGGCACATTCATATACCAGGAAGTGCACATCTGTTTTTAAGGAGGAATTCCAGACAAAAAGTAGATTTTTCAGTGTACTGCTTAGGCACAATTGTAATTTCTAAATGTTGCCTGTAACATAGCAAATCTTCACTTCTTGAGTTCAGTTCCGTTTTTAGCTGTGTCCCATAGGTCTTACATGGAAAGAAGATGCTTAAAGTGCGAATTGGAAATTTGAGGCACTTAGTCGCATGCAGCGTTATATTCCAAGCAGGGGCGGACTGACCATTTGGAAACTCGGGCACTGCCCGAGGGCCCGGGGTCAGTAGGGGGCCCCGTGAGATGCCCCTGGTACCTTTTTCATGGGCTTTTTTGAGTTTGGGCAAGGACTCAGGGGCCCCATGATCTCCTATTGCCCGGGGGCCCCATAAGTTGTCAGTCCACCCCTGATTCCAAGCGTTCCGGAAATTACCTATAATTCTGACTATGCAATTCTCATAAAGCATGAGCAAATTAAACAGTGTTTCATTGAGGGCAAAGAAAGAAATCCCCATTGGCATTGACTTCAACTCAATGGTGTGTACATTCACGTGTTTCTCTTAAAGTGTATGTAATGGCATTTTTTTTCCAGTTGTTTGATGGAGCAAAGAAAATCCTTATCTGTGCTCTCTGCTATCAGCATGACTCACTCCTAATAGAGTAAGTCGACAGCGCAACCACCTGGGAGATTGCTCCCCTCCAGCACACAGCAGATAACTCATATCTTTAGGTTTCTCTGAGCCTGTGCAGAGAGGGATTTGTTCCATTCCTCCAATCAGCTGTCAAATGACACTTCGTTCTGTGCTCTAGCTCTGCAGTGTGTGTGATCTTAGATCTCTGCCCCCTGCCTTCTACTGCTGAGAAAAACCCTTTTATCTGTGTGTTGTAGAAGACTGTACAGGACTGATGGCTGCAGATAAACAGGTACAACTTAGTAGGAGGATTTGTTTCATTTCCATGTATCATCTGAGGCTAATCACTTTAACTGGTATATGTAACAGGTTACAACCACTTGCCCTCCAGAGGATTTACCCCCCTTCCTGACCAGGCCATTTTTTGCGATACGGCGCTGCGTTAATTTAACTGACAATTGCGTGGTTATGCAATGCTGCACCGAATAAAATGTATGACCTTTTTTTCCCCACAGATGGAGCTTTGTTTTGGTGGTATTTGATCGCCTGTGCGTTTTTTTTTTAGTTTTTTGCGCTATAAAGAGAAATAGACCGACAATTTGGAAAAAAAAATGATATATATTTGACTTTTTGCTATAAAACATATCCAGTAAAAAAATCAAATTTCGTCATAAATTTAGGCCAAAATGTATTCTGATACATGTCTTTGTTAAAAAAAAAAAAAATCCCAATATGTATAATTTAATTGGTTTACGTGAAAGGCATAGCGTCTACAAATGGCGGTATATATACTGGAATTTTTATTTATTTATTTTTATACTAGTAATAGCGGCGATCAACGACTTATAGTGGGACTGCGGCAAGCATTCTGACACTGGGGGGGAACTGATTAACTGACACTGACATCCCCAGTGACACTAATACAGTGCTAATAAAAAGCACTGACACTGAACTAATGACACTGGGCAGGAAGCGGTTAACATCTCGGGCGATCAAAGGGTTAACTGTGTGCTGTGTGTGTTACTGTGTTAGCACGCTGCTTTGTATGGCTCTGCTATGCAAAGCCATACAAAGCAGTGTGCTGGAGCTGACAGGGGAGAGATCTGTATTGTTTACATACAGACCTCTCCCCCGTCAGTGATACTTGGCAATTCCCGGGTGCCGGCAGGGAATCAGCGGCCGGGACTCGGTGATCAACAGCTGAAGCCGCCAAATATATACGTGATTTTGTGCAGCCCTGCTACTGCTACCCTGTAGCAGTAGTTCTGCTATAGGGCAGTCGGGAAGCGGTTAAAGTATATCTAGAGCAGTGTTCATTTCTCCAACTAAAATATTTTTGTCAGAGAAATTAACGCTATTTTAGTCGACGAAAATATTACTAAAACAATTTAGACGATTAAAATACGACTAAAACTAAAACAATTCAGATGACTAAAATTAAAATGGCATTTTATTCAAAAGACTATGACTAAAACTTTGACATCAAAATGAACATTAATCTAGAGCCAAAATCTTCTTTCCATTTTGCATAGAGTAGGCAAAGCTTAAAGTGTCACTAAACCCACAACAGTGAAATCAGTCTATATATGCAGTAAAGCATGCTTGTTATACTCACTGTGGAACCTAAGGGGTTAATTTTCCACATTATGTAAAAAGGCTGTTTGATCCTGTCTTCTCTGATCCTCCCCTTCTACTGTCTCCAATCCATCTGCTGATAGAACAGAACCTTGGGGGCAAGCTGCACATGCTCAGTTTGGTGTGTATTGCTAGAGAGTTATTTTTTTTTCTTGGGAGAGTGCATGTGATCAGCACAGGGCCAATCTGCACTGTCCAGACAGAGGGTCAGGGGTCATGCAGCCTCAAAGAACAATCAGGGGAGAATGAACACACATCCTACAAGCTTTAACCAGTGCTGTGCTGGAAAGTGATAAAAGTCACAAGACTGCTCTTACTGCTGATGAGATAAAGTATTTAGCCGTTTCTATTTACTAAAATAATTGCATTCCCATGTACAACTAGATTTATTAAATTTATTTATTAGAGGTACTTACAGTATATAGCGCCGTCAATTTATTCAGTGCTTTACATATATATTGTATATTCACATCAGTCCCTAACCCTCAAGGGGTGTACAATCTAAGGTCCCTAACTCACATTCATACATACACATACTAGGGCCAATTTAGACAGGATCCAATTAACCTCCCAGCATGTCTTTGGAGTGTGAAAGACTGAAAGACGTGCCCCTGGAGAATAAATTGGTGGCTTTTTATCACACGCACTATTTGTGCAAATGTTTACACTTTCAGGAAAAATACACAAAAATAAATGTCAGTGCACACAAACACCATATAATACCCGTTGTCTTGGTAAATGATAAAACATGAGGTTGTGTCAAGTAAACAGATACCAAACATGTCAAGATATAAAACTGCATATGCTGGGTCTATGGACCCTTGCCATACTTTTGTCTTGTCATACAGTGCCTTGTTTATTGTATTCTATGTTTATTTTATTTATTAGAGGCACTGATAGAGAGCTGTCAGTTTACACAGAGCTTTACATATATATTGTACATTCACATCAGTCCCTAACCCTCAAGGGGTGTACAATCTAAGGTCCCTAACTCACATTCATATATATACACATACTAGGGACAATTTACTTACCAGCATGTCTTTGGAATGTGGAAGGAAACCTACACAGTCACAGGGAGCACATGCAAACCCCAGGCAGGTAGTGGTGTGGCTGGGATTCAAACCAACAACCCTAGTACTACCAGGTGGAAGTGCTAACCATTGTGCCACCCTGGATATAGTGAATGCAAGGTCCTGGGTTTAGTAACAATCTAAAATCCCTAACTCACATTCATTCATACACATACTAGGGACAATTTAGACAGGAGCCAATTAACCTACCAGCATGTCTTTGGAGTGTGGGAGGAAACCCACACAGGCACAGGGAGAACATGCAAACTCGAGGCAGGTGGTGTGGTTGGGATTCAAACCAACAACTCTAGTACTGCCAGGTGGAAGTGCTAACCATTTAGCCACTGTGCTGCCCTGGATAGAGTGAATGCAAGGTTCTGGGTTTAGTAACACTTTAAAAGTTCCAGTTTTTATCCCTTTCTTATCCTGTAGACACAACAGGAAATTACAATCTGATTGTACAATATCCTTTAGATATACCTATGTAGTGCAAGAGCCTGCTTGATTGGATTGAACATATATGGTGACCCTTAGAGGGTTGTCACTAGACCAGGAGTCCCCATTTGTAGATTTCCTCTCTCTTCCTTTTCTGGTGGCACTCTCAGTCCCAACGACAATATTCCAGGGGTTCTAACCTCTCGTCACGCTATCCAAAAACGGAAAAAAAAAGCTTTTCTCTTTAGTTCTACTGAACACTTTTGATACTTTGAAGTATATCATTGCCCAAAGAGAACCATCACGATGGCGAACAATGATCCTTCTTACTGTAAGATGCCCTAATGTAGGTTTTTATCAGCGCGTCTGCAGACAGATTAGACGGAGCTTTCACGGCCTCTCGCAGTCGATATATTTTAATATCATTTACTGTACATCAACATCCATTAAAGCATTACAAAGCCTGAATCCTTTTGCTTAAGAATAATGATGACTCTGTGTATGGAAACGAGGAGCCTGAACTGAAAATAACTGCTAAAATACTATTAGTCAGAGATTTGGCTAAGGAACGATTACATGTGGGCAGAACAGCAGTTTTCAGAATAATTGCGTAGGCTGCGGACAGATTTTGCAAAGCATAAAGGACTGAGCTGTGTCCTAATGAGCGCGCTCATTAACATTAATAACATGGCATGCACGCTGCAGCATTGAGGATGCATGGGGCTGCGCTGGGGATGGAGGGCGTGCAGGAGACAAAAATAATGGAAGCACACAATAGTATTTTCTACAGCAAGCTGCAGCGATATTTATATCTCTGTTTGAGTGATGTTGTTTTTTAAGGCACTTTTTGCTAACTTAAAAAAAAAAAAAAAGCTGACAGGTTATCTTTGTATGACAGATGAGTCCCTGTATGTCTCTTTTAGCATAAATACTCCCCAACCCCCGCCTGTCAGCTTTTTTTTTTTTTTGCTGATTGCACACTGAGCCGCGCATGCGAAACAATTATGTGCCGAGACAAAGTAACTTATTATTTATTACAGGTACTTGTATAGCGCCATTAAGGAACTTTAAAAAAAAAAAAAAAAGCTGACAGGTCATCTTTGTATGACAGCTGAGTCCCTGTATGTCTATTTTAGCATAAAGTGTTTTTCTTATCAAATTGTGCAAAGAAATAATCTTTCTTCATAAATATTGGTCAAAATTTATTCAGTTATCTTTTTAATAGCCCAAATTAGTTTATAATCAAAAATTATAATTTTTCAAAAAAAGTTTTAAATTTTTATTTTATTTTTTTATATTATTATTTCTGTTTTTGTTTTTTGTTTTTTAACATACAGTCACCCTAGCAGTACAGTGTCACCACAGTGACACGGTACTACTTGTGGGGGGTGATGAAGGCCCATAAAGGCTGTAAAAGCAATCATTTCTCCTTCTCTCTGGCTGCATTCCTGCAGCCATTGAGAAATACTGTGCAAGCTGTGATTGGTCACAGCTTGTCACATGGTTCAAGGCTGTTGTGAATAGCCTTGTACCATGTAACCTCTGTGAACATTCACAGATTTCACAAGTAAAACCTAAGGGGTTACTCCTCTGCATTGTGTAAAAATGCCCTTTGATCCTTTCTTCTCTGTTCCTCCCCTTTTTCAAGCAACCACCTTTTATCTCCTGATAAGACTGAACTGTAGGCATTTGCACATGCTCAGTTTGGTGTGTGCTGCAAGAGAGGGTTTTTGTTGTTGTTGTTTTTTTGGGAGAGTGCATGTGAGCAGCACAGGGCCAATCAGCACTGTCCAGACAGAGGGCAGGGGTTTTGCATCCTCCTAGAGCAGAAATAAAACCCCTCCTACAAGCTTTAGCTAGTGCTGTCACAAGGCAGTTCTAACTTCTGATGAGAAAAAGGTATTTAGCAGTTTATACTTACTAAAATAATTGCATTTCCATGTTGTGTGTACTGTGGGAGACCAAAAACAGTGGATTCGGGGTCCAGCGTACGGTTGCCACCTCATCCCTTTAAACTCGAACACATATTAATTACCCAGGTTCTGTGGCTGATTAAGGTGGTAATTAAACTCACTTGGTGCCTTATCTGCATTAAATTGGCCTCAGAACCTGTATAATTAATATGTGTTTGAGTTTAAAGGGATGAGGTGGCAACCCTAGTGCTGGGTTTAGTAACACTTTAACCCCTAGACGCCGAGCGCACACAAATATGAGGCCTCTCTGCGTCTGGGCTTTGATGCCGAGCGGCCACTTATTTGTGTACCATTTGTAAATACATATGTGCTGAGAACGCACGCCCTGCGTGCTCCCAGCACACATGTCCATGACTCACAGAAAGGTCCCAATCTCCCCTTACGATCAGGACATTTTCCGTTCATGCGACTGCCGTGATAGCGAATCACGGTGGTCACATGACCCTAAAACACCGCCCTGCCTCCCGGCTTCTGAAACCTCTTAAAGGGCCAGGAGGCGCCGGCTCAAAGGGGTTAAACATGAAGGATCTGATCAGGTCCACCTGTTAGTTTTTCAGGTGGACCTGATTGGATGGTCTGTTCACCCCTATGAACCAGCGGGTGTAAACAGACTTGTTCCCGTTTACTCGTTCACCTCCAATCTGATCCTGTCCACTAAAAAAAAAAAAATTATAAATGGATGGGGTTCCATCCCTCTCCAACTAGGCGGATCCATCTAGGGCAGTCCACTCCACTGTCCATTTACACCAGGCCAACCATAGAGCAACCTTTCATCCACCCGCTCTGCTCTGATCAGCAGGGGATCAGTGGACAGGTTCCCTGCTGATCAAATGAAAGGGGCCTTTCTGCTTAGTATGACTGTACAGTGATTACAGTATAATGCAGAGAGAATATAACACAAAGATGTTCTTAAAAATGTGCTTAGCAGCATGCTATTTTTCTAGAAGAGCAGAAGAAAAAAATGTTAGAAGAGCCCGGTCACATGATCTATCAAAGCGATTAAACAGCGGAAACTCTGTGTGACACTGCAGGCTCCACACTGTGGCCCATATTTTATAAATGGGTAAAATGAAGGCAGCAGAGTGGACCAACACTATGATATATAGCACAGAGAATTTGTGTGAGATTTCTTCTCCGTTATAAATGTATTCCAAATCCAGTCTTTCTCAACCTTTTTACCCTGGAGGAACCCTCCAAATAATTTTCAGGTTTTAGGTCTCAACAGCTGCAGAAAGGTTTAAATAAAAGAATAAGGCATAGCTATATGTGGCACCCAGCGTCAATGATTTTACAACATTGCTTGTTTCTATACATTAATATTACTTGTGCAAATGAATATTAATAGTTAGAAATGCAGCCTGTGAAAATTGTAGTGTCCCCTCACATTAGTGGTCAGTAGAGAAATGCTTTTTTACATAGGTGGTAAGTGGAGAAAAGCTCCCTTGCAGTAATGGTCAGAAGTGACCCCTTACATTGCATGTCAGTAGGAAATTCCCCCTTACATTGGTAGTCATTGTATGTGGGAGTAGGGGCGGACTGACCATTCAAGCACTCGGGCACTGCCCGAGGGCCCAGGGTCAGTAGGGGGCCCCATGAAATGCCCCTGGTACCTTGTTATAGGCTTTTTTGGGTGTGCTTTGAGTGTGGGCAAGGACACAGGGGCCCCATGATCCCCTATTGCCCGGGGGCCCCACGAGTTGTCAGTCCGCCCTGGGTGGGAGATTAATCTGTTACTCATCAAAGAACCTCTAGCAACCTCTGGAGCAGCCATTTTCACGTTCAACAAATTTCTATTGAAAAAAATCTTAGGTACAAACATAAACGTAAGAAAAAGTTTTTGATGGAACAGCCATTTTGAAACAGGGTTCCATGGAACCCTAAGGTTTCTCTAGAGGTTGTAGGGGTTCCTTGATCTGTGGCTGATTGACCTACTGTCTGATGATTGCTGCATAGGTCCGGCCAGGTCCCTCGCCACCTAAAAGCTAGGGAAATGACATCAACGAACTTGTTAGCTGTCTATAAGAGTGGCATTCTGACCACCACTGTAAGGGGGGCTGTGACAGACCCAAACGGGACAGAATCTTTTGGAAGAGACTGCAGGCTAGCCTCATGCCTACTGACATGGGCCCTGGCGTTTGAGGGGGCCTTTTCTTTGGATGGTGTGTGCCTGGGGGGGACCTTTAGAGTAGTTTTACTTAGGATTCAAGTCCATGTCTGCCCCCGAAACACACAGACTCTGATTACGGGAGGACCCGGATATAAATTTGGGGCCTCTGTGCCCAAATCAGCATTGACTGCTTCAACCCCCTCTTAGACTGTAATCTGTTTATCAAGGTGTTATGTGTTTACTGTTGTGTATTTGTTCCACTGGTAATGGAGTTAATTGAGTCACCTATTGTGTCTGTCTGTTGGCTAGTCCTCCTGGAGGTTCCTACATGATGGGATTAGTCTGGTGTCAAAGTTACCTTGTTATCTAGTCAGTGTGGGATGTTTATCCCAATGTGTAATATTTGTGTTTATTGTTCATGTGGATACTGCCGCTATTTCTGAAGTGTATAAAAACCTGTATTCCTGTTCAATAAATAGTTCTAGTTGCAACTATGCTAGTGTTGTCTAGTTCCTGGGTGCAATGCCCAGCTATAATACCTTTTGTTCTGTGTCCCAGCGGCAAGGAAGCAGTTCTCTGATGGAAGCACCTAACTAGGGTGCCAGGC